ACATTGCAAGATGGTGGAAGCAGAGAGAGAGAGAGAGAGAGAGAGAGAGAGAGAGAGAGAGTCTCCTCTTCTTTTAAAGCCCCCAGAACCGCACCCCTAACCACCATTTTTAATCCATTCACTACTGCATGGTCCTACAACCCAATCACCTCTTCAAGGCTCCACCATTCAATTACCATAATAGGATTTCCTACCCTCTTAACAGTCATAATGGGGGCCAAGTTTCTAATACACAAAACTTGGAGGACACAATTCAAACTTCAGGGAGTTTTGGGGGGACACAATTCAATGGCTTTCACCAGATGTTTTCCCTGGACCTTGTGCTTCTCAGCCCCTGAAATTGTAAGCAATACATAATGTTTCTTTACAAATTACCGAGTTTCAGGTATTTTGTCATAAGCAATAGAGATGGACTAATACTGACACTTTTCAAGGAGAGATTGGCAATTCAATGACATGGACTCCTGGTTTTGACAGAGTGTCAGGACTTTGAAGAAACACAGGTGAACGATTGTAGGCAAAGTTGTTTTGGAAAAATCTATGACTGGACATTTCAAAATATGCCATAGTTGAAAATAATGGCTTTCCAATCTGATACCCATCAGAAGGCCATTATATAGCAGGGAGTTCTCAGTAACTAATGTGATCCAACACATAGACTTCACTCAGTCACTTCCTCACTGTCATTCATGCAGGGGCTCAATAATATAAATTTCAGCTGACATATGACCACTGGCACTTCTGAGCACCCAGCATGCCAAAAGAATAACCCAAACTGGACCCCTATATGGTAACACACATCAGGGATCAGATTAATGACTAGTGTCCAGTGCATCACAGTGAACAGGAAGGACTGGACAGTTCCTTCCCTGGTGTTATATTCCTGAGCATGAACATTCCTCCCAGGCTGGTTGTGTAGAGAGAATCTTTGGTTCCTGCAGCTGCACTTTCCTTTATGGTCTGTTCAGAGGTATGGGGTGTATGTCCAGGAACATTTTCCAGGGCTCAAGCATACTGCAAGGGACTTTATTCCCCCTCCATAGCTTGCTTTCTTGAAAACACAAAATTCTCAAACCTTGATTAATTTGAATATGACATTTCTAGATCAGGCCTGCCAAATAATTCATTAACAGCAAGGTCTTTGAATCTCTTCTCTAGAATAGATACTGTTAAAGGCAGAGAACTAGGCAAAAACAAACAAAAAACCCAAACAAAAACCCACATCCAAGGAAATAATTGTAATAATAAGAACAATGACAGCAACAGCAGAAACACCTTCAATTGCCATTTAGTGAGGTTTGAAGACATACTGTGTGTTGATTCTGCACTAATGGTTTAATGATCTAGTGCAATTAATCTCATATTAATCCTCTATGGATGAGAAATCAGAGGTTCTCAGAGCTAAGATTGCTTAAGGTTCCAGTGCTTACGGGGGAAGGTTGGAGACAGACTCTGATACTCTGGCTTCATAATTCCTCCTCAGATATAACTGAACACAGTGAAGTGTGTACTGTATTTAAAGTGAATATGATGTGTGCAGGTGGATGGACACACACATACACACGTCCCCCTCTGACTTCTATGCAGATTAAGATACATACTCTCCCAGCAACCCAAGCAGCCCCAAGCTCCTCTCCTGTCAATTCCATGTTTTGTTGACCACTACCTAAGTCCTTCTCTGTTCTATTTTTTTAAAATCAATACTCATCAATTTTCTCAGTTGTTGAACTTTATGTAAATGGAATCATTTAGTATCTACTGTTTGGTGTCTCACTTCTTTTGATTAACTTTTTTTTTGTTTTATCTATGTTGTTTTTGCAGATGCAATTTATTCCCTTTTTATTTAGAATAATTCTTTTCTCTATGAATATACTATGACTTATTTATTTTCACTGGTGTATACCAATATGGTGGTGGAACAGGAGAGTAACTCTGGAAAATAATTTGATGAGATGGTAGATAGGACTGAGGTCTGCACAGTAGATGACTGTTGATTTTTTTAAATACCCTATACATGCGAATATTTTCTCTTTATCATTTCAACACTTTATTCCATGTATAGAAAAGCATATTTCACCCTACTTATCTAAGATATTCACGTCTTAATTTCTACATATGCATATAAAATTCATTTTTTGAGTGAAATATCTTGTTAGGTAAATATTTTACCTACTGCTGTTTTTACAATTTGAGGTTTTGGAGAACTATACATCCGATTTTGAAAGGCAGACATTATCATTGATAGCAATTTATAATCCAAAGGGAATATATGCTTGCTGGGATGGGGGAATTGTGCATTATGTGAAGAAAGTACCAGCATTCATGGTGGAGGAAGAATAAATATTTCTTAAAATATTTGATAATATAAGAAAAAGCAATTTATAATAGTTATAGTTTCTTGAAAATGTCTGAGGCATTTGTCTCCTATTACTGAACTGAGATGAGAGAGTAATCATTGTGTTAACCTAGTCTCTGGTTTCCAGAAAGGGTCACCATGACCAGTTGGACTAGCTAAGTCTGAGTGTGACTTAGCCTGACATTGGCAAACCTAGGTTTCCCAATGATTCTCAGAATAAGTGCATCCATCTAACTTTATCCTGACTCAGAGGACTTGGTCCAGCACAGATATCTTGCTCACAGTTAAGGACACTACACAGTATCACCCCCTTTATACATCCCTAAGAGTGCTACAGGTCAAGACATGATCCCCTGCTGTGGATCCTTGAGTCCAACCTGTATCAGCTTCTTCTCTCACTCCTGCAGCTGCCTTTTGAGTTACTGTGATGAGGATCAGGAAAATAGGGTAAATTTTATGAAACATGCTATTCATTTTCACCTTGAACCACTCACAATATACAGTATATGAGGAAAAGATAATCACAAGACATTGTTAAAGGCAGATCCAGAGTCCTCCAGCATCTTTTATTTACCTGCAAATAAGCACTACAACCATAGGTTTCTATTCTTTGTGGGTGAAAGTCTGGCCCAAATGACCTGTTGAATCTCTTGAGTTTGAGACTATTCCCTCTTTTCATGTTTAATAGTGTGGAGAGAGTTGTGAAATAAGCTGCTTCTTCAGAAAACTGTCATTGGTGTTTAAGCAACCTCTCCCGACAAATACAGATTCTCCTTTTCTGCTTTCTTGGGATGTAGAAAAAAGAAATGCAAAAGAGTTTAACTGTTTTAGAGAAAGCAGCAGAATCAGAGGAGATGAGCTTCAGAGCTGGAGAATGCAACCCCAAAAGGCCTTCAGATTATAGAAGGGAAAGTCCTTGCAGCAAGTACTTGCCACCCAAGGAGAGCACAATTTGGAGGAACACAGGTAAAACCCATACTGGATTTCATTTAGATCAGGAGTGTGAACTCTCATTTCTCAGATTGTTAAGGAGAGGGGAGCCTGAGTCTGCGTGTGTTTGATGGATGTGTCTTCAGAAAACGATGTTGGTTCACTGGGGTCAGAGCCTGGGTCCTGCTCACGTGGGCAGTTGTGGTCAACCTCGCATCCACAGTGCTGTGGCTACCTGAGTGACATTTTTTATGAATTCAAAAAAAGAGTAATGCAGTTACAGGGCCATCAAGAAAGATCGCTAAGCAACAAAGGAAAGGTGATTCTGGAATATAAATTTCTGATCAGCTCCTCACTGTAACCTAAATAACCCATGGAGATGTGGAGGTGCATTGGTGTTAGAATGAGAGAGACGTGACCACCTGCATTTATTTTCCTCTCCAGACCAGGAACTTGAAGCAAGCCTGATTTTTATCTCTCTGAAAACATTCATTACATTGTTTTGGATTTTATTTATTTATGTTTTTTAATTGTAACAAATTATCTGTCTGTTCTGTTATAAATTTTTGTATAGAATTGCATGAGCCCATAAAATTTCAATTAATTATTTTTTTAGTAAACTCAGGAGTATTATTTTAAATTAAGTTTCTCATTATTATTTCTATCTTAATGATTGTAGTTTAGGAAAATATTTTGTTCGTGGATTTGTCTCAGTCTCCTTTTTCTGTCTGTTTCATACTCTTCCATTGTGTGTACAGTGACTAACACTCCCCTCTGTCTTCTCTGTTATTTACTGATTTCCAACAATAAATTCTAGTTGTTACTGCCTTGCATACTAGTTTTCTTTTATTTTTTGGCATTTTTCATTGTGCATTTAAGGTTTTATTTCGCTAATATTACAGGAGATCTGATAGATTTATATTTACGTTTTCACATATTATTGTGATATTTTTCCTTAAATTCTATGGATTATTCAAAACCTTTTGATCACATTTTTTACTGGAATATCCATGAGATTTTGTGTTACTCTTCCTTTTTGTTCTTTCTCTCTTTCTTTTGTTGCTTTTGAGTGTGTTTGTTCATTTAATTTTATCTTTTTAAACTACACTAATTGTTTCAGTTCTTTATAATGAATTACAATAAACAATTACAATGATAGACATTTTGATTTAGAATACATCTCTGTCATTGGCTCATCTAAGACTCTTTCTTATTTACTTATTTACCAACACACTCAATCATTAATTCATTTATAACAACATAATAAGCTTCTGTGAACCTACCACACAAAATGTGAGTTCTCTATCATCTCACATGCCTACCTCCCCCCACCAATTCAACCACAATTCTGAATCTTCTAATTGTTATACTTCGACTTTCCTTCCTACAATTCAATTCTTCTATATGTAATTAACAAATAATGTTTGTATACATTTTCTTTCAACTTTATAAAAAAGAAATAGTACTATTGAGATCTAATTTATTAATTTTATTTTGTTCTTATTCCTTTGTGTATTTTCTTTAAGAAATATTTGCCTACCTATATAGTAACAAGATATGTTTTTGTGCTATTTTAGATACTATTATTTTGCATTTCAAATTTAAGTTTAACATTCACTTGTTTCTTATTTTTTTCGGTGGCATGCCAGTATAGGGATTTGAACTCTTGAAGTTGGTGTTACCTGGTGTCACTCTAACAAACTGAGCAAACTGGACAGCACTGTTTATTATTAATTTAGGATTAATAGTTGTATATGTCAAATGTAGATGTAATTCATTTTGATGTCCTATGGATACGCAATTCATACAGAACAATTTATTTTTTTTTCAAAAAACAAATATTCTCTACTACTTTGCAGTGGTGCTTTTCTTGCAAATCATGTGACTTTTTATGTATGAACAAGTTTCTAGACTGTCAAACTCAACAGCTTGTTTGTCTATTCCTTTGCCACCACCATGCTATTTCAATTACTGTTCTTCATTACAGCTTTTGACATTGGGTATTGTCAATCCTCCATCTTTATTCCTATGAATTTTAACATTTTGAAATTCCTTAAATACTTCAGAAAGATATTTTCTATTCAATGAAAATTCTCTTAGTTTGTCTTGAATTAATTTGAGGAGAATTAGCATATTTACATTAGTCAGTTTCCCAATTCATGAACAAGGTCCAACATTCCATGTATTGGGGTCTTCTGTATTTTTTTCTTAGTAACATTCAGTACATTTCTCTCAAGTTTTCTTGCACATATTTTATATAAATTTCATTTTGACATAATGTCAAACCTAGACAAAAATTTAAAAAATAGTATAAGAAATTCTCATATACAATTTACTAATATTCATTTAACATCAACAGGTGACTTTCTAATTCCACATTCTCTTTATATTTATTAATTGGCATCTAGCTACTATCAATGCAAAACAAATCGCCCCAAAATGTAATGGAACATGAAAGATGTAATAATTTTACTATTATCTCCTCATCTCTACATGTTGCCCGGGCTCGCCAAGTTCCTCCTCAGGGTTTCTTTCATGGATGCAATCAGATGGGGTCTGGGACAGGAGTCATCTCAAGGTGGTCAATGCTGGATGTAGGCTGGGTCCTCTGCTGGTGCGGTTAGCCTACCCATTTGGTACATGGCTTCATCTATAATTTTCCTAAGAGTATAATGTATAAATTACACACCCTTTATGACCTCTTATAGCCTTAGAACACAGTGTTAGTTCCACTGTAATCAAATGCTCATTCAGATGTGAGAGGAGAAAACACATATACTGAGCTCAATGGGAAGACTGTCATCATCAGGCAGTTAGAGGAGCCTAGTCTATGGGCAGTCTTCTGAAGGATACTTTGAAGAAAGTGTCAGCAAGTGTATATCCTTGGTCTTAAACAATCCACATTTTTCCCATTTAGAAAACACAATAATATGTGCGTAGAAAAGAGCTAAGAAGATATCTCCATGAGAAAACAGAAGGTAATATTTGAATTTATCCCACTAAAGCAGCAGGGACTTTGTCTTTATTGGTTTTCCTTCAAACAGAGAAGAAATTTAAGTAATTTTTCTCACAAAAGAGGCGTCCACCCTCCCTTTGGCTCTTTCCACACTGCTGCACCCATCAGGGGATTTGCACATTGTCCTCCTAGGAAGGACCTTCCCTTGCAAGTCTGAGATGAAAGCTCAGCTCTAATGTTGCTTTGAATATCAGGACTCCTCAGATCAACATCTCAAATTGAGGTTCCCTGCTCAGCTCCTGGGGCTGCTGATGCTCTGGATCCCTGGTAAGGGTAGAAGAAGATGATGGAGGAGAATGAAGTGGGAGGGTGAGCTCTGGAGCCCACCACTTCCCATGTGTTTTCTGTCCATCTGTGAGATGTGCATGTCTCATCCTCCAGGATGGGGCATGTGATGTTTAGATCTGTGAGAGTGAGCAAGATTGCAGAAGGTGCAAGGACCTGTGCTCTGTGAAAGACTGTGACATGGAAAGAGGGGTCTGGTGCAGGCAATTTCTGGAGCCCCCCTTGTGTCTTGCACCTCTTGGGTTCTTTTTTGAAATTGGATATTTTGGGGGTATAAATTAAAATTACATTCTTGGATAATGATTTATCCTGATATACATTTTGAAAAACATTACTAAATTAGTGTATGATGTTTGTACATAACATTATACTTTTATCTCATGATTTCAGGAATCAGTGGGGATGTTGTGATGACCCAGACTCCCCTCTCCCTGTCCATCATCCCTGGAGACCTGGTCTCCATCTCCTGCAGGGCTAGTCTGAGCCTCCTACATAGTAAAGGAAATACCTATTTTGAATTGTTCCTGCAGAACCCAGGCCAGGCTCCATAGCTCCTGATCTATTTGGTTTCCAACTGGGCCTCTGGAGTCCAAGACAGATTCAGTGGCAGTGGGCCAGGGACAGATTTTACACTGAAGATCAGCAGGGTGGAGGCTGTAGTTGTTGGAGTGTATCACTGCCTGCAACACACACATGCTCTGTCCACGGTGATATAGCCCAGAGCACAAAGCTCTCTGCTTGGTTTGGCCCAGCTGTCCACATCTGTGGCTTATCTACAAGCAGCCCAGCACATTCCCTGAGTCTCTGAAAGAGGAAGATATTGGAGAAATCAGTGGGATAGTTTGCTCCTGGGGGCGCTAGGCCTTGAGTCCCTGAGGCTCACATCAGGAATCACCTGTTGAGGCCCCATCAGGTGCAGCAGCCTAACCTGGCTGCGGGGGCGCACCAAATCCAAGAAGCCAGAGTTTGACAAGGATCCTCTGGCCAGAGTCTGACAAAGTTCCTCTGATTTGGCACGATGTTTTGCAAGGCCTCATCGTGGGAAGAGGTGCTGCACTCCCACCCTCATTTTTTGGAGTTTCGTGTACTTGCCTTGTTTTATTATATTTTATTATTTATTGCTTCATAAGTATCACTCTGGGAGGATTGAGAATAAAATTATGGATTTTACCGAAATGTTTAATCATACTTATGACCCACCTGGGAGTTATAGTCATGAGTTTTCTAAAAATGGTTTGTGGCAGTTAAGGCCAGAAGGGGACAATGGACCCATGTACACATTTACCTTGTCTGCTTCCTGAAGGGAATGTTTTTGATACAGTTGGTGAACATAATGGAGTTGTTACTGAAAATTTACTCCAAAAGTTGCTAGGCAACATAACTACTATTATGCCTAACTTGCTTGCTTCAAAGAATCAAACATAAACTTTCTTTTCCTCCTAGAAATATAGATTCATGTTAAGTTTTAGAGTATTTTCATAAGGCTTAACACATTATAGGATGTAGTAGATAAAAAGAAAATCTTATTTTATATTTCAATATGTTTTAGTAATGAAAAAATACTGGTGAAGGGAACTTTGACTTCCTCCTTACATCCTTTGATTAAGGTACAAGGCTGGATTATGTATTAATAACATCATATAAAGTTCAATAGATTTAGTTAAAGTAAAAGTAACAGTTGATGATTATTTGGGACCAGTGGGTTGTAATGTTCTTGCTCAAAGGAAGGAACATTGAAATTGTCTTTTCTGGGAATAAACTGTAATGCTATTTTTCTTAGAACATATGTCACTTACAAAGAGATATTATGATATTGTTCAATGATTATGATTATGTTGCCTCTAAGAAAAAGTATAAAAACTGTGTACATGCTTCAATAAAGTATCAGCATTCAGCAGATCCCTTGAGTCTGTGTGTTTGCTGTCCATTCCATCGCCGACGCTGCCTTTCCTCCCTTTTGGGGGTTCCTTGCCAGTGGGGACCTTACAATCTTTGTGCTGTGTCTGGTCCCCGGCACCTGGTATAAGTGGCAGGACAGGGAGGTGGTCCAGGTGTCCTCTGAGTAAACAGACTTGATTGAACAGAGACTGAATGAATTAACATTTGTCATTTAAGTTAATCAGCATTACAGCAAACAGTTGACACTGACTTGTGGCAATACATGATGAATACATCTTGGGGTTATAGCAGATACATGATTTATGCTAAAACTTTGATTTTCCTCAGTTTCTACTTGGTGATAGAAAAAGGGAGTTCTTGAAATTCAAGAAGTTTAGTTTGAAAAATAAAAAGTATAAACTGGAAGTTGTAATTTACCCCATATATCTCTGAAAAAATTCAGAAAGATATGGATTTCTTTTATTTCCTAAAGTTAAGAATTGAAAACTGCAGGCATACTGCAGGTGGGAGTGCATGAAGGGAATTTGGTAGAGATGAATTTTGTTCACATACGATGCACGTTAGCTTGCGGTGAGTGGGGTTGTGGATGGTGCTGGGAATAGCAGTTGAGGATGTGAACACTGCAAGAGTCCAGATGTGTTTCTTATGAAGATTGGCAGAGTTGAAGGGACCACTGCATGGCCTCCTAGATCTAGCTGGTGCCACTGCAAATTTCACAGGAAAGTATTTCATTGTGCAGGGGGTTAGGCCTGTAATCATCAAAGGTTTAGTGAATCCTGTGAAAAGAGACCTGAAGTCATGTCACTCAATCCTAGTCAACTTATCATAGCCAAGGACACCTTCTGAAACTCATTCTGCCCTAAGTAGTGGTCTTGCAGGGAGCACATGGCTGTGTTTAGGAGATGTAACATGCAGTGACATGCTAAGCGGAAGGCCCAGCAGGGTCTACACCGTGGGGATGGAGACAAATGTCCATGACACAATCATATATTAAGTACAGTCTGTGCTGCCTCAGGGAAATAAAAAAGCACCTTTAGCCTGTGGGAGATTCATACAACCCTAGCCTCCCTGCAAACTCACACATCAGCAAATTTCCCATACCATTAGCCATATATAGACATTGCCTTGTGCAATCACTGAGTCTCAGCTGGATTCTCCTTTCCCACATGAGTTGCTCTCCCTGTGCCAAGTCAGAAATTGTGTCCAAATGCAAATTTGTCAAATACTGTAGGATGCAAATAATGTCAGGTGAACATCTGTTCAACTAGACAGGGCTCTTTTCATTCTGGAATTTTAGATCAACTAGTCTTCATTTCCTTCACTATATTCTAATGTCATTAATATATAGCTTTTGTGCATTATCCTTTTTATTTATATTGGTTTTTTTTGCAGTGGTTGTTTTGGCATTTCCATCTCTGTATTATTATATCAGGGAATGAACATTTTTGTCAGTTTTTAATCTAAATAATCTTTTAGTAGTGACAATGTTGATACTATGTTTTCATATGGAGAAAAATGTTTTCAAAAAGAACATGAAACTGATTCCTACATTCAAGTAGTAATGCTACAGAAAATATGTAAAATGGTGCTGTAAGAATATTTCTGATTTAATGACGAGCATGTCAGTTACATGCTATGGCATGATATAATTGAAGTAAAATAATGTTTGAGTCAAATTGATAAGATATTTCTGATTTTGTTGAAGGAAATAAATTATATTAGGTATAATTTCTTATTCCAAGTTATCAATTCCATGGCAAATATTAAAATTGTATTCTTCACTAGACAGAACAAATATAAAGTAAAAAAAAAAAAAAAAAGAAAGAAAAGAGAACTTTATAGCAAGGGGTTTTTGTAATATATACAAATAATGGCAATTCTTTAGAGTGCATTTGTAGACTTATTCCTAAGTGAGGACACACATCTACCCAAAACTCCATTGATTTTCCTCCCACAGTCACTTGTGTGGAGGCTGGTGATGCTGCACACACTCCTGGGACCTGCACAGTGTAACAGTCCAAGCACCCACCTCCCAGGAAGACTCAGACTCTCAATGCAGCAGGAGCATCTGTGGTGCCCAGAGGGCAAGTTGGAACCAGGCTGGGCTGTGGTGGAAATGGCTGCAGAATCTTGAGGAAGAGGCTGCAGATGCATCAGTCCCAGGCTCTGGGCACCTCTTCTGCATAAACAGGGTCTGGGAAGTGACAGGACAGACATCCAGCCCCTCCTGCTTCCTCCACACATAGGTCCCATGCCCAACAGACCCTCCGGGGAGTTGCTGTCATGTCCTCCCTGGAGCAGCCACTAAAGTTCCCTGCTGACCTCATGCCTGCACAGATCTCATTCATGTCACTGGGAGGAGATCCTAGTGCATCCTGACATCACCGATGCCACTGAGTCCCTTTAGGGCACTTCGTCATGCCTTTGTCGAGTATCCGTCACTCTCACAAACCATTAGAAGAATGGAAAGCTGCTTGCACTGGGTGGATTTTGTGTTTTGAGCAAATTAAAGCTCACAGCAGTCTCGCATATCTCCAACACATAATAATATTACCTTATAATCCTTTTGTGACATTCCCTGTGACTGAATTCTTTCTGAGAATTCTCTCACAGGAGCTGACCATCCACTCTGACTTTTCTGTTATGAAGCAGCCAACATGCTTTTCCCCCCAGGCTTGTATGATTCAAATGCTGTACAACTAAATATATCCTTGTTACATTCCCAGACTTTTAAAGAAAAGAATCACTTGGTTTTGGGTCAATTTGCTCTTCTTTTGCTAGTATGTCAGGGAAGCAGCAAAGGCTATTTATTTTAAAACCTCTCTGCTAATATGCATGTATATTGCTATAAATTCAATTCTATAAATTCGCTGTTTTTTTGCATCCCACCAGTTTGGATGACATGTGACGTTTTCTTTCAGTTCAAATATACTTTGCAATTTCCATTTTTGTGTCTTCATTTTCTCAAGTTTCATTGAATAGTTTGTTACATAGTTCAAATATTTGTATATTTTCATGATAACTTTCTGTTACTGATTTCTAACACAATTTCCTTTGTTTCAGGAAATACATTTTTTTATTATTTAAATTCATTTACTTTTATTGAACTATTTTGTGGTCCCAAATGTGATTTTGGTGTTATGGAGACCTTCTCTTTTATGACAGAGTCCCCTTTCTTTAAGGGTGTGTGGGAGCTGAATCAATAAACAAACAAGAAATAAAGAAAGAAAGAGAGGGAGAAAGGGAAAGAGAGAAAGAAAATGATCATAATAAACTGAACTTTTAGGAGGAGAGAACAGAACTGTGGCTACTGGAGGCAGAAGGGGGCGGAGGAAGGGGGACGGAAGGAGAAGTTATGAGAAATTAATGAGAAATTGATTAATGGACAAAAAGAATGTTTACCTATTGTAATGATGAATACGCTAACTATCCTGATTTGACCATCACACATTGTACACAACTATTCACAGTAAACTTTGTACCCCACACATATGTATAATCAATTATGCTTAAATAAAAAGTAAATTGGAATAAAAATATAATTGAGAGGGAACTTATAAAACACAGAGTTCTTAGAGAGGCAAGGGAATTATTGTTTCATTGTGAGTAGTTAGGTGGTGGGACGCTCGGCTCAGCAGAAAGTTCAGCATCACAGGCTAAAATGAGTCTCATAGCTCAGTGCTGAAGTGTTATTGGATTTTTTTTACTATCTTTTTTCTTGAAAAATGAAAGACAAACAATTCAAACATTTGGGAAAATTGTTAGATTAGGCAGATCTAGAAGAGGGTCTTGAGGATTCAGAAAAATGAAGACCTGT